GCGGGAGCGGCGGCGGCGGCGGCGACGACTCCCCCCCAGCCTCGGCGCGCGACACCCGGCCCGGCCCGGCGGCGGCGGCGGCGGCGGCGCGTGTCCACGAGTCCGTCTTGCTGCCGCTGCTGCTGCTGCTGCTGCTGCTGCCGCCGCGGCCGCCGCTGCGTCCCCCCGCTGCCGCCGCTGCCCCCGCTACCGCCGGTGCCTGCTGGCGTCGCCTCGCGCCGTGCCCGGCCGCCGCTGCCGCTACAGCCGCTCCCGGACGGACGACGGTTACAGCCTGGCCGATCGCGCCGCCGCCACCACCGCTGCGCGCGCAGCCGGACCAGCTCCCGCCGCCGCCGCCCCTCAGGGGGCGCTGCGGGGCGCGGCGCGCGCGGCGCGGCCACGCCCCCGCGGCGGTGATTGGCTACCGGCGGCTCGCGGCGGTTGGCCCCGCCCACTCTGCCTACGGGGCGCTGACCCACTGCCCCGGGCGCCTCCCGCGCTCCGCCTCCGCGTGGTCTGCTCCGCTCCGCACCGGGGTCGACGGAAGGCGCGTACATGTGACCGGCGGCGCGGGGTGGGGGCCGCGGGGTGACCAACGCGGCCGAGGGAAGCGCCGGCCCACGCCGCGACCCGCCCATCCGCACCTGGGTCTAACTTAGCGCCTCGGGCCACCCACTGACCCGCAAGGTCGCGGGCGGATTCCCGATCCTAGGAGGCGCGGCCTCGAGCCAGATCCTGCCGGGACCGGGACGGGGCGGCGATCGAGACCTGAGCTCGGGGACGTCCAGCTCACAAGTGGGGAACCTTACTTACTACTTGGCTGTCTTTCCTGGAGGCTTGACTGGCGAGTACATCTCCGCGAAGGGTCTTACTGCCCTGTTCCCCAGCCCCCTCCCCGGCCAGCAAAACACAGACCTCTCTCCCTTTACCGATGGAAATGCAGAATTAAGGAACAAGTTTTTTCCGAAGTGTGCTCAACTATTAAGCGGAAATAATGCCGTCTTCACAGATGCTCTTCGGCACCAAAGTATGAAGAATGAGCGTAATTTAAAAAAAAAAAAAAAAGCGAGGGCGGTGGCGTTATACGCCTTTAATCCCAGCACTTGGCGAGAGGCAGAAGCAGGCGAATCTCGTCAAGGGGAGGGGGAAGCAACTCTGGAACATTGCTTTGCATGTGAGGCCCTAACGTCAATTCTTGGCACCTCAAAAAAAAAAAAGAGAGAGAGAGAGAGAGCGGTTGGATTGGATGTCAAGATTGCCAATCTAACGCCCTTCTTTTAAGGATGCTGAAGATTATTTTAGAGATTCTCCAATAGAAAGATTTTCGCCTTTTGCCTTTGGAACCTGGCCAGGAGTTCTTAACCATCATGCGTCTTGAGTTTTGGAAATTGTGGTTACCAGAGGTGAAGTGAGTTGGGAGACTGGTTTGGGCTCTTGCCAGATGGAGCAGGAAAAAGCCCTGGAGGCTGGCTGGAGAAGATCGGAGTGAGGAGAAAAGTGTGTAGTCACTATCCATCCTGGAAGTCTCACCCGGAGTTGCACCTATTTACAAGGAAATGAAAATGGCCCTCCAGCCGTCTCCCAGCACGTTCATCCTGCCCCTTGCCCTGGGAGGAAATGCAGTGGTCAGTGGTCATTAGCTGTGCTCCACAAGGCAGACCGGGAGCATTGCCCCTGACCAGAAGAAGCCTTCCATTAGAACGTAGTTTTAAAAAGGAGAGATCTAAGGACTCAGCCTCACGGAAGCCACAGCACAGAGCTCAGGTTGTTTACCGCCAGCAGGTGGCCCAGGACGGGGTGTTTTAGGGCAAGGCTGCCTAGCCTTACTGTGTGGGAGTTGAAAGGCCTTGAGGAGCAAGAGAGACTGCAGATTAGAATCAAGGCCCCTGGCTGAGGGTGTGAAAGCTCAAAGGCTGCCTGCGTTATTCTACCCTCCTCTCGAAGGGCACACTGGAAAGGAAGAACTAAGTCCTGGGCAGAACTTTTCGCTGTTTCCTGGTTACTGAGGTTTCCTTATGCTCTTGTGCACACTCTGTCACTATAAATGCAAGATTCTCCTCTGCTGTACGGGTCTACTTAGGGCAAACTAGCAGATAGCTGACTGAATGTATCTTTCCTCCATCTCAGCCTGGCCCTAAAATATCAGTAAGTAACATAACAACATAAGGATAACAATAATGGCTACACTAACAGCCATTTTTTTGTAAAGCTTCTACTCTATTCCAAGCCCTGGGCAAGGTGCTTTTAAATAAATTACCAAATTTATGTTTCTAAATAACCCTAAGAAGGAGGTATTATGAACTCATTTTAAAAGAGACTAGGAGCTTGGAGAAATGAAATGAGAGAAGCCGATCTTAGCTCAGGTTTGTCTGCCTTTGGGGCCCAAGTAATCATGTTAGTCTGCCACTTCCGTCAGTAATTGGTTGTCCCTCCGAGTAAGCCGGAAAGCCTTTGGAGACCTTAGCACCCACCTCTTCCAAACTGCAGGACCACCATCACTTTGTGCCAGCCTCTCGAATCTAGTTGTTTTTCCAGAGAAGGTTGTAACGTGGCTTTACTTCCTCCTCCCCATAAACAGATCGGGTACAGGGCTGCAGGTGCCCTATTAAACACAAACCACCGTTGGCAGTGAGTTCCGCAGTCCAAGTGCCATTAGCTTATTAATCCTCCCAGCACCCCTGTGAGGCTGAGCTGGCAGTATTCCTGGCTCATTTTACAGAGCATGATCTCCTTGGAAGCAGAAGCTGTGTGGGCCTGCCGTACCCAGCAGTACCAAAGAAGTAACAGGGGATATGGCACAGAAACTGGGGTACTAAGGTTGGGACATGGCCCAAGTCCCTAGTTCCCATTCTGTCTCTATTCTTACTGAACAGCATTACATGGCTACAAAGTTGCCATGTAACCTTGTGTCCTGGTTAGATTTTTCTTTTCTTTCTTTCTTTCTTTCTTTCTTTCTTTCTTTCTTTCTTTCTTTCTTCCTTTCTTCCTTTTTTTCTCCTCCCTCAACTTGGGACAAGCCAGAGTCACTTAGGAAGGGAGAACTTCAGTTGAAAATGGCCCATAGACAAGTCTGTCGGGCATTTTCTTGATTAATGATTGATGTGGGAGAGCCTGGGCCACTATGGCTGGTGCCAACCCCTGGACAGATGGTCCTAGATATGTAAGATAACAAGCTAAGCAAGCCATGAAGAGCAAAGAAAGGGATTGATTGATATCTGCTCAGGACACCCCAAGACCAAGTTCTCAGCACAAAGATTTATTTGCCCCAGAGGGACAAAGGGCAGGGATTAAGAGACAAAGACAGGAGACAGAGGATAAGGGAGAAGGGGAAGGATACAAGGGAGAAGAGAAAGTGGCATTTATAGGGCTGGGGTGGGAGACAAGACAAAGGGCTTCTCTGGAGAGAGAGGAGACGATGTGGCCCCTAGGCCAGTGGTGGTTTATAAAGGTAAAGGGAGAAACCCTGTATTAGGGTGAGGTGTTTACTTTTAATTGGGCATCTTAACTAGGTGAGCCAAAGGGGGGGCTTTTGATGGCTGGACTTCCATACTTCAATAGCTGGACCTTGGTAGCCTCAGGAGGAGGAAGTGGCCAAAAAAGGGAATAGAGCCTGGTGGCGGGCTTTAAGAATGTCATCTGATGGTTTTTAGCAAGGCAGAGGGAATGGGGGAGAAGGGCTAGGCCGGCCAGAGCCGTGTTTGCCATGCTCCGGATGACTAGAGTCCCTTCAAGCAAGCCAGTCAGTGGCACTCCCCCATGCCCTCTGCCTCAGTTCCTGCCTCCAGGTTCTTGCCTCAAGTTCCTGCCCTGACTTTCCTTCAAGATGGGTTATGAATTTTAAGGTGGAATAAATCCTTTCCTCCCCAGGGTTCCTTTTGCTCACAGTATTTATCATAGCAATATGCAAACTAAGACCCTTTAGGACCTTATTTCAAGTTTCAGAGTCTCAGTTTCCCCTTCTATAAAATGAAAAGGTGGTGCTAAGGAGCTAGCCCATGAAGGAAAGCACTTGTCTCAAGCTGGAGGACATGAATTCAAGCCCCAAAACTCATATGAAAACAACAAAAAACAGATGTGGTGATGAGTGCTTGAAATCCTAGCATGGGGGCGGTAGGGACAGGTGTTTGAAATCCTAGCATGGGGGCAGTAGGGACAGGTGTGTCCCTGGGGCTCCTGCCTAGCCTGCCTGGCCTACTATTCCAGGCAAGTGACAAACCAGACCTCAAAAAAGATAAAGTGGCCAGGCATAGCAGCTACACCTTAAACCCAGCATTTGGGAAACAAAAGTACACAGATCTCTGTGAGCTCAAGGCCAGTCTGGTCTACCTAATGAGTTCCAGCACAGGCAAAGCTACATAGTGAGATCCTATCCTGAACACACACACACCAAGACAAGGTGGGTGGCTCTTAAGAACGACCTCCAACATTGCCCTCCCGACCCCATGCTTACCAGCACACATACAAAATGAAAAAGCAGCTTTCCAAAGGCAGTGGTGATGCCCACACCTTTCATCACAGCGTATGGGCCAGAAACAAGCAGATCTCTGAGTTCAAGTCCAGCCTGGTCTGCAGCGGGAGTTCCAGGACCAGGGCTACAGCCAGAGAA